GTGTGGAAGGAGGTGAACGAATAGAGCGATGGATGGCTGCGATGCCATCGTTAGAGAGAGCGTGCAGTTGGCAGAAATAATGCTGACTACACAGTCCTGCACTCTGCTCTCCAACAATGTGAGTTATGATCACATATCCCTATGAGATAGGTTAGAGGCATTTTGGCACACATACAGTAGCTTCTCTCTCGTATACATACTAAATATCCACCTGTACAAGTACATGTTATGGTTTGGCCGAGTGTATGCAGCAAGGAGAAAGACAGAGAAAAAGAAACAGAAGGAAGGATTTTGGTTTGCCTCATTCACCGTTCAATTTGTGTTTATAGTCAGAATGACTTCAGGTTTTGTCTGGTGAGTCACATAGAGCCTCAGATATTCAGGAACATAACCGTTTATGATATTCATAATTTGTCACTTCTCTTCAAGTGCCTAAATGGCAGTCAGACCAACAGGTAATATAGTGAAGAACATATGAGTGGTAGTCTTGTTAATGTTATCCAAGAGGGAAAAGGCATCCCACTCCCGCAGCAGTATCTGGCTGGCTCTGCAGCCTCAGCTCATCTGCAGTGAAGACAATCTGAGAAAACATCCAAGTCCACCTTTATCTCTGTTCACATCCTCTTTGCCCCAAACTGCTTTCTTTCTCTCATTCTTTCCTCTCCATCCTCTCTCCTCCCTCTTTCTGCTGCCACTGTGTACATAGAGAGAGAAAGAGAAAAAGGCAGCTCTGCAATGCAGACACAGCAACAACCTCAGTCCATCTGACCAATTAATGTGAGCCAGGATATGAGTGGCAGATCCAGCAGCCAGTCATAAGAAGAGACTGGAGGGGTGGGGGGGTGCCTGAGAGACTGACAGAGGGAATCAGAGGGGCTGAATGACAATGGAATAAAGATGTAGGAAAAAATCAAGGGAAGGGAGAGTGGAATAGACAGAATGGAGTGGAAACAGAGATCCATGTAAATAAAATGCAGAGCTCTGGACATGGAAAGACTCTTGTCTCCTTCATTTCCTTAACAGTCACTGACCAGTCTGAGTCCTATCACTGCAGTTCTTCTTACTCATCAGCTGGCTGAGATCCACCAGCTCACCCAGCTCTCCCCGCTCCAGGACTCCTCTCAGCAGAGCCCTGCTCAGCCCAGGAGTGTGTTGCTGGGACACATATGTTTGGCTACTGGGGGTGGGCATGGAGGGTGGAGGCAAGGGGACAGGGACCATGCCGTGGCTGCTAAGGATGTAGCCTTCCTGGGCTGGCCAGCGCAAAGGCAACGGCTCGCCATACTCCATGGGGGCACTGGGTGCTGAGACCACCCTCCGACGCTCAGGTGAGTCCTGGGGGGTCATGGGGTATACATATTCTCCTGCAGACTTCCTGAGGGGGGCTTTGGGCGTCCCCTTCCCTCCTTTTTCTTGCTTGCTCAGGCAGACATAGTGCTGACGTGGCGTGTCATTCCCTCGACCCTCACCACTGTGCCTCCCACCTCCACCCTGCTGGAACAGTCTGGTGGTCAGGTAGACAGAGGGGGGCATGCGGCAGGGTGAACCCAGACCCACAGAGCCTCCCCCCAGGTACGTCTGGCTGGTGTCCCACCCTCCAGAGTTGGAGTCCGACAGCCGCAAACCTCTGCGTTTCTGCTGGGGTGTGTGCTCCGGGGTGGGGAGGAAACCAGGGTCAAGCTCTCCTGACTTCACCCAGCCATTAGGCATGACGAACAGGGTCTCCCCACCCTGAGAGCAGGTACGCTCCCCACCTCCCTGCCGGGTCACACTAAGCACAGAGCCTCCCATCCCGGCGCCGTTACTCAGTAAGCCTCTGTCACGCCGCTGGATAGAGGACTGAGAAGCGTTGCCATGGCGACGGTTAGTGGGCTTGTGGGCCATGAGCCAACACACGGCAAAGCCTGAGAGCGCCGCTCCAATGGTGAACGCTGAGACTGCAGATGCCACAAGCAGGTTGAGGGAGACCAGGCTCTCTGGTTCAATCAACAGGCTCTGCTGCAGAATTCCTGAAAATTAAGAGACACACTTATAAAGATGACATTTATTGGAACAGTACAGCAGACACCATCTCTCAGCATCTGTCCGCAGGGTGCCTTTTAAAATGATTCTTCTCATTACATATAATGCCACTTCTACTTATTTCATTTCCCCTCACAAGACATTATGTATCATAATTAATCAATAACCACAATAACACTCATAATTAGTGCTCCTCATGTCCAGCATTATACGATTTTTTTCTGTGAAGATTATGTTTCTTTCCAGTCCAGCCTTGAGGCTCCACTGGCTCCAGGTTCACAGAGGGCTGCACTTGCCCTCAGCACAGCTCAGACCACAGCAGCTGACTCTCTTCTCCCCACATTTTCCATCCTGCAGCCTGGTCAGACAGTCTCTCCTCGCAGCATACCATTACCTCAGTGTTTCCACCCAGCTCTAATCACTTCCATCTGCAGACACAGCAACACATGCCTCTCTCTGGCCCGGCCTCTCCTGCACTTTCATCACTCGGATTAGAGTTCAGGTCTGCAGCCTGGCTTCACTGACTTCTGCTGCTATCAATTTCTAAGAGTGGGAAAAAACTAGAAGCCCATATGTCAGTTCATGTAAAAAAAATGAATGTGATGAGGGGAATGCAGAATGTGTTCCACTCTTTCTCAGATCTAGCCATGTTGAGTTTATGACTGAAACTGGGCTAAAGCAGGCAAAACAGTTCACAAAGAATCTGCTGGAAAGGAAGTCACTTTTTTGGTATTCACTGAATTTCAGAGTGAGTTTCAAAGAGGCCCTTTGTGACGCTGCTGCAGTGACATCTGTGCCAACACAAGTGACAGTGTTTTCTGCTAAGTCATTTCCAGCTTGCTTACTGTACCAACTACCCGTGGTCATACCTCTCTCAGATGTCCAGCTTAAAGAGAACAAACAAAAATGTTGCATTTCCCGTTTTGCAGTCCCATATTGTCTGTCAGCACTTACACTTATTTCACATCCTCCCTAATTAAACTGCCTCATGCTGGGAGTAATTTGACCCGTAAGAAGTATTACTGAAACCAAAATCCCAGTTCTACTGCCACTTGATTCACCTGTACATTGCTACTTTTATGAATAAATGGATCTTGCTGAGCTGGGGAGGAAATCATATGACACCTTAGATAATTAAAATGTGTGAAATTACAAAAATTGTTACAACTATTCTCTCACTTGGCAGCATTTTTTTCAGAACAAAATGTTCAGTGATATGTGTAATGAGGAATTGGGCCACTAGGCGGAGCCTGCCAGGAGTCCACTGTGCACAGTCAGAAGCATCCATGTCATAGTGCTGCAACCTACCATCACAGTCTCCTAGATGGGAAGTGGTGTTTCCATACTCCACATCTTGTTGAAAAGGCAGCCTGTAGCCACAAAGAGATCACAGGTTAATGCATCAGAGGCTCCAGTATGTATCTTCATAAAGTCCTTTGTAGGGCTTTTAATTCACTTGAGTGGCATAAGAGTCATCTGCTGATGTAGTACTGTGGCCCTAGAAGTGGGAAAGCTAACGGCTAAGGGCCCAGAGCAACAACTAAAGGCTCAAAGGAATCACTGGAGAATCTCTGTTCACGAGTCTAACATATCCTGGTGCATTGAGCATACTGTCTGCACCACAGAAGGAGCCACTGCTCTCAAAAAGATAAAAAAAACATCACTGTATACCTGAAGTGCCAAAGAGCACCAAGGCACTTTACAACACGACTGGGAAAATATTTTATGAGGTGATAAAACATTGTTTTGGAAGAATACACAGAAAACATCATCCCAAATGTGTATGCCATGGAGGGAGCAGCTTGATGGAGCTGTAATTTCCCCCTGGGATTAACAAAGCATTCAGTATATATATCTCTATCTATCTATCATGATTTGGGGCTGCTTTGCTTCCTCTGGGACTGGACATCACAGAGAAGATGCAGCAGGACAATGAGCCTAAACACTAAAGTAACTCTGCAACCGAATGACTTCAAACAAAGAAAATCTGTTGTTTGGTCCAGATCTTAACTCAATAGAGATGCTGTGAAATGGCCTCAAGAGAGCTGCTCGTACCAGACAGCCTAAGAATATGTCTAAGTTGAAGCAGTTCTGTAAAGGAGAATGGTCTAAAATTCCTCCTGAACATTGGCAGGTCTGATCCACAGGAAGTGCTTATTTGAGGTTATTGCTGCCATAGGAATTTTGGCCGGATAGAGTTCACTTACTTTTTACACCAGCACTGTGAATGTTTAATGTGGTCAATAAAGACACAAAAGATTGTAAATAATAACTGTTTGAGTGTTATTAGCTTAAGCACACCGTGCTTTTTCTTTACTTGTGACTTGGATGAAGATCAGATCACATTTTAGACCATTAATACAGAAAACCATGTAATTGCAAAAGGTTTGTATACTTTTTCCTGCCACTGTTTATGATCTGTCATACATGGACAGATTATAAGACAATGAGGCCTTGAGCACAGACAGGTTAAAGGTCCCCCACCTTCTAGATAGGACACCCCAACATTTGTAGTCATTTTGTGTGTATTGTCTTTATGGTTTATCTTCTTTTGTCATTTTCATCTCTTTGAAGCAATTTTTGAGTCTTTTTGTGGTCACTTTCATGTCTTTATGGTTTTGGGTCAACTTGTTTTTATTTTGCGCCTTTTAATTGAGCTCTGTGACCTTCAAATGAGAAATATGTCACTTCAGACAGATGCACAGGCCCCTGACCTCTCGGGACCCTTGGGCCTATGACCGGTAGGCCGGTGCTCTCATGAAAGCTTGTAAGTAATGAATATTTGCAGTCTGACATACAGTAATACTTGATTGAAAGTAACATTTGATTTCTTTATGAGAATACTTTCACTTTTGCATATAAAATGGTACATGAATTAGGTGTTTGATTAAATATGACAGAGGTTGGAGTCAGCTAAACAGCTAGTGATGGTAGCTCGGACAATGATATGAGGTACAAAAGTTTCTTTTGATACAGATATTTCTATTTTATGGAGCAATTACCACTAACCATAGTGGTTCTAAGACTGTAAATTTTAAAACAATAACAGTAATTCAGTTGAAATTCTTACTACTACAGCAACTGGGAAATTATTGTATTTAATATATAAATCATATCACAAGTGCTGAACCCTAAACCAGAAATGTATGTAACTGTAACATCAGTTTATAGTTGGCCAATTTATATTGCTTAGTAGTTATTGTCTTATTCAGATGTACTTCAGAAGGGTGTATAGTCATCATCAAAGATCTAACAAATCTTGCTAAACATTTTTTTTTAATAACAATGGCTACTGAATTTACCAGAGTAGTTCCCTATTATATATTCATTAGTTTACTTGTCATTTTCCTCCTTATTACATTGTATTTGCTTAGAAGTTAACTTTAAACTCTGGACAATGAATATCTCTTTATTCATTTGATAACAGGTGTAATATATGCCTGCATACTTCCTTGAGGGGGCATTGTAGAATAAAGGAAGGTAAGAAGCCTTTAAGATGTGTGCAGACACAGGCACTTGAATTACAAGAACACTGCCACCATTTTATAGCATTCGGCCTCCTTCACAGGCTGGCGTGTGTGTGTGTGTGTGTGTGTGTGTGTGTTGTCTTCACCGTGTGCCTGGTCTCAGGAAGGAGCAGGTGCTGCCTCTGGTCCAGCCGCAGTAAGGATCCCTAGAGGCTAGAAAAGTCCGCTCCTGCACACACACACACACACACACACACACACACACACACACACACACACACACACACACACACACATGATTGTTTTCATTCTTTGTGGGGACTTTACATTGACTTACGCTCATTTCCTTGAGACTTACCCTCACCTTAACCATAACCACTACTTTCCTAAACCTAGCCTGTAACCTCAACCTTAACCTAAACTGATCTTTAAGCCAAGTTGTCACCCTAAAATTCAGTAATTTACCTGATGAAGACTAGGACCAGCATCTGAAATACTCAGTACTGCACTCTTTGACCATTTTAGGAGGAATCTCTCCTCAAACAGAGGGAACAAGAGGTATAACTATGAATTTAGCTGGGAAGTTAGCTCGCTCACTGGCTAACACACTAACAAGGTACTCAGGTATATTTGGCCAAGTCTGTCTTTAGACAGTGATTTATATGCGATATGCTGTTCTTCTCCCATGTTGTGCAGAGTAGCTACATGTTCACAGCTTCCTGTATTCAAATGTAATATAGGGCTGCTGTGGTAATCAGGTTCAGAGCTTGCAGCTGTACTTCAAAACATCTACCCCATATGTGCAGTAATAAACAAGTGCCTTCTTGGTATGCATAATGAATCATCATCTTGCAGCCTCTTGCGTCAAGTTAAATACAATTTCTCAGGGAAACAAATTCTCCTAGAATAAATATTAAACCTAACAAGCTAGCTGTGGTTTGACAAAAACACACGCCATGCATCCCCTGCTGACTGAAACAAAACAGTTACTACAGTAACTGAGAAAATGGAGACAAAACAAAAGTTGGCCAATAAGTACTACCATGGCTTCTCCTAGACAAAAGCATGTGACTGTGTGTCACTCACTTCATGCAGCGTGAGTGTAGGTGGCAGCGAGATGTGGGCACTCGGACCAAACATGAGGGGAAGGCCAGCAGCAGAGTGTGGCTGGTCCGGTCCAGCGAGAGAGACAAGAGCTGACGAGCCTGAGGAGAGTCTTCACCACACCTGGAGACAGTGGAACACAGAGGATGGACTGTCAAGAAGGGGAAGGTCAGTCTACTCAGTTTGGCTTCAGCAAATCCTTGACAGAAACAACCATGTGCCTTAACCCTCATACAACAGTCAAAACATCAGCAAACTGGAGCTTTATCTAGAGGTCAGAGACAGAGCTGTGTGGTGGGAAGCACTAAATGTTTTGTTTGATTTAGCTGCCAGTGAATGAAGCCGAAAACCTGCTTTCTACTTTGATTTATTGATGGTCAGGTCCTATACTGTAATACACAGAGTAACACAAATCAATAATTGAATCTAAGTTACAAAGATAGATACAAAAGCTTGGATGACAACACTGGAATAGTTTCAACATTCAATTATGATATACTATACTCTGAATATACTTTAAAAGTAAAAATCCAATACTGACAGTAAAATAAATGGAATTATAGACAGTTCTAAGATGAGAAGCACTGCTCTTCCCCAGGTATAACTGATCTACCTCAAGCAATATGCCAGAATGTATAATTTATTGGAGATGAAGGGCAAAGGTCTCTTGACTCCTACTCACTTCTCTGGGTTGAATCCCTCCACTTCCTCCAGAAACACACTGCTATGGGAGACAGAATCTCCACTGGGAACCATTAAGAACTTGAGGATGGTTCCTCTGGTCGAGCCCAGGAACAAGACTGTGCGGTTCTTGTGTGGTCCGGCCTCTGTGTCCACCACCATGGATGTCAGCTGGTATCTAGACAGATAGAATAATAGGGTAGGTCAAAAGTACTTCCTATCCTACCTGTAGGTTATAATTCATATTTATGCTTTTTATTTGCATGACATAAAAATGTTCTGCATTAGTGCCGTCAAGTAAATCAAGTCAGTCCTTGTACCGTCCCATAGTCTTGACCACCCAAGGTCTATGTCCCAGCAGGGGAACAGTCTCATCCATCAGAGGATGGGTCTTCACAAAGTTCAGCACCTCATCTGGCAGCGTGGTAGAGGAGCTAAACCTGGATCCCTGCACTGCACATCCCCCTGGTCTGCAGACAGAGAAAGAAACAGAAGAAGTGAATGTGAGAGAGAGAGAGAGAGAGAGCAAGAAAAACAGAGCTTGAGGAGTTCTTTTTTGGCTGCTGGAGGCTGTATTAGAATATTTGCTGAATAGTAGTGAAGTTGCAGTGTGATTGACAGTTGGACCTTATAGCAGGGGAAAAAGTAGGCTACAGTTATCGTGAGGCAGTTCTGCTTACGTGCATTTTGCATAACAATACCTGGGTTTCGGCACCGCTTCGTCCGGCACAGGAGTCCAAATAGACTCTGGGGATTTCTGCTCTTTAAATCGACCCTCAAAGACATGAGCCAGCTGCTGCATGTCGAACACACACACTGCAGAGCCAGGGATGCTACCAGAGACCAGAACAAAGAAGACAGTGATAAGAAAAAAAAAACTGTGTTTGTGCTTGTCTGTGTGCATGTTGTGTGAGCCTCTCTATGCACCTGTTAGGCGGTGTGGAGAAAAGACCCAGAATGACATCTCGCCCCTGCATGCGGATGATATTGCTTGTGGCATGTAAGAGGTTGAAGTAAAAGTGTGAGTCTCCTGGGACGGAGCAGTTGAGCCGCGCCTTTAGAAATGTAGTCCACTGTTTCTCGAGGACGCGCTGAGAGCCGCCGAGGTCTGCTTTACATACACGGGCAACACGGGACACCATCACCTAGAACAGGAAAAGCAATGGTATATTAACACTGAGAAATAATGACATAACAAGAAGAAACACAAGGAGGGAAAGACAGAAAAAGAGCACCTTCTCTAGATGATGAAACTCCATGGCCATCTCCCTGAAGAAAAAATAAATATGAGCCCCCCACTCCATGGCGCTCACAAAATATGGCTCTGGAAGATAATATGAGAAAATCACTGTTAGACAAACACATACTGTCACACTACTGCCTGGGGCCAAATGTAACACAGCACAGACCATGACATGGAGCTGTAATAATAGAGGCATCAACATGCGCTTCTGCTTTCCACCAGCCTCCCTCATTAAATATTCATGTACTGTTTAATTTATCAGCATGGACAAGAGGACACACATTATTTATCATTTATTCATTCGGTGCTGTTTCAGCTATGACCTGCCCCAGCCTGGTTTTTCCTCTACGGAAAACAGGTTTGACTGTGTAACACAAAGGCGTGTTAAACCCCAACTCTGTCGAGTGCAACTAACCTCAGTATATCCCTCTGTTAGAGTGTGTTCCACTTTTATTAAATGTACTGTAGGCCTAATCATGTCTGGTTTAGCTATATGCAGTAAGTGATTTAGACAAAGCAGCAGTTCAGCTTTCTTTTAATAACTACTGAAGGTAATTGTGATGGTTTCTGTTACTATTGAAGGTGTCTGGCTCAGGAGGGTCATCGTTAATGTGTCTGACGTACCTCTGAACCATTTGGAGTCATGCTTGACCGTGCGGAGGGCGGGGCTGTCACCAAGGCTTCGATAGATCACCGCATCAATGGCCAGGAAATCTGTCACAGTGCCAGTAAAGAGACTTCCATCTGAGAGCGTGGGAGGTGCACAGAGAGCGTAAAGAAGGAGATTAAGAAGAAAAAGGGGAAGATGCAAATGGAGAGATAACACAAGGTCAGAAAGATTAAAACCAAACAAGCCTTGCAATGAGAGGTCTGACTATAAATCATTTGTAGAAGCAAACACAAGGGCACAGACGTTTCAGTGTCAGGAGTTGAAATCAGTCTGATGCCTGATAAAAAGTATTCCTCGACTTTAGTGTGCAAATACCTGCAAATAATGCCACATTGGCATGCCTTGGATCGTATGGACATCGTGCCATCCCGCTGACTGGCTCTCCCACCATTTCTAGAGTGTCTCTCTGCAACAGGAAAAAACTTATATATACATAAACAAGCTGGCGGATAGACAGAGAATGACCAGCTGACAGATAAATGAATACTAACAGTGTAGTTGGCACACAGCGGGTTGAACGCGTTTGTTCCACATACAAACAAGCCATCATGCTGGTTGAGAAGAACTTTGATGAAATTACGGCACTCTCCCTGTGGAAGAAAACACAAAAAGACGCTATTAAAGAATAGCAGTCTTCACTGTGGCTGCTGATTGAACAGAAACTTAAAGCTGCTACCACAGAATCTGAAACTTGATTATCTGTGATCTCTTTAGTCCCTATGTGGCAGCTCTTCACTCACAGAGGACACCAATAAATATACCAGTGTAGGTAGATGAGCAGCACATTTTTTTCTACAGCTCCAGATTTATTCATCATGAGTGAAATTCAGTGCTCCTTCTTCATACTGAGGGGTGCAGGGGAGTAGCCAGGAATTTATTTTGGAGGGGGGATCCCAGGTATATAGTTATTTAATAATAACAGATTTACTTTTCTTTTGTTCTAAGTACTTCAGTCTTCACTGTAATCAGCTCTCGTTGGTTTTAGGCTAAGCCTTTGGGGGGTTGCTACCTACTGTTACTAGCTGACAGTATGTGTAACAGAGTTATCTTTGATTGGAGAGTATTTTAGCAGCTGAAGGGACTGAGGCAGCAGAGTAGTTTGCACAAATGTCTATTTGTACATCATGTTTCCCAAATGAAGAAAAAAACACTCTCCTCTTACTTGTGAATTATACATGCTAAACAACTAACAGCATTCCAGTGTGTTTGTTCTGCAGAGGCTCATTAGTATCACTGTTATTTCTGGCCAAATTTTAGTTTTAAAGAAAGTGGCTGGACAAAACTGCTTTTGGCTGCCTAGTGCGTACATTTTTATGTACTGGTATACAATGCTCCCAATTGCGATACTAAATTCACAGGTGGAAGTAATTAAAATAAAATCTCAACATTCTGGGGAAAATGCTTATTGGCTTTCTTGCAGAGTAGGTTGATACCAGACTCTCATATCTGCATGGTAAGTAGCTGGAGCAGCAGCTGCTTAGCTTAGCACAAACACTGGTAACAGGGGAAAAAGCTCTGTCCAAAGGAATCAAAATCCATCTGTCAGCCACCCTAAAGCTCCAATTAACAGCTTATATCTTGATTGTGATTGTCCAGTTATACAGTGAACCTAGCTAATCCAAGCTGCTGGCTCCAGCTTCATTTTAACAATACAGATGCGAGCGTGGTGTCAATCTTCTCGCCTAACTCTCTGCAAAAAGGTGAAAAAGCTTATATTTTTTTACTTTAAAAATTGTGCTCCATTCAGAAGTTTCAGTTCCAGAGTTAAAGTTTTGGTAAAACTGCCACCTGGTTGCTCAAAGGTACATTTGCACATTTCACCTGTGCTTTTTTTTTATTTTTTATTTTTTGCTAAAACCAGTCAAAGCGTCTGCTGTGCTGAGTAAAGGTCTGTTCTTGGATTAATCATTAGAAGGACTGGTCTAATAGCTGCAGCTATTAGTGCCTGTTATCCTGAGCTTTATAATTTGATCTCTTTGAGTTAGAGGGCCATAGCTAATATCGTCTACCCTTCTGTCTTCTCCCATTTACCTCTAACTCTTTCATGCCATCATTTCAGCCAGGTTTTGTTCTTTTATCATCACAACTTTAATTCCCTTTTTCAGTCCTTCTCTTACATCTGTGTTCTCTGAAGCAACATATCTTTACTTTTCTCACTACCTGGTGGCTGCCCTCCTCTTCACAAGTTTCAGTTTTCCTCTGCCTACATGCCTCCCATTCCTTCCTGTGCCCCCCTTCCTCAACTTATTTCAATTACTGTTTCCTCCCTGAGGCTGTGTCATTCTCTCTGCTCAGTTTGCTCCATAACATTTCCCATTGCTTCTTCTTTTTTTTCCACCAGTTCCGCCTAGATTGGATTTTGCCAGTGGCACTGCTACTTTTATACAATAAAGCTAACATTGTCAACCAGGCTACATTCCCATCAAATCTTTCTCTGTTGTAGATCTGATCACATTCTCTTCATAATGCCTGACGCTGCCAACTATCACTTCATATACACACAGAACTGTCCCATTTTCTCACCTTGCCCACAGGCCATGAATGAAATATATAAAGGAAAGCGGCACAATGCAGGTGTACAAGAAAATGCATTACAAGCTTCATGGACAGGTTTTGGCCTGGATTCTGTTTCACTGATTAATTGATGTGCTGGTTCTGTATCAACAAGATCACATTTGTGTAAATACCACATGTTGGTGCAAAGGACCTGAGGTTTCTCTGAAAGCCATCTGTCCATGCATGTGATAGTGTGGATACAGTGTTGATGCATGTGCGAGTGCATCTCAAAGCCAGAGTGTTGTGTACGAGCACTGTACCTCATGTTTGCCCTTCATCCGACATACTCGAATGTCGTTCTTATTGGATTCCCACGTCCGCTTCTGCCGGAGGAATGGGTCGTGTTCATAACATGTTTTATATGTACATCATCAATTAGTCATGAATGTTTGGTTTCGTATGTGCCTTACCTTGCTGTAGAACATCTCATCACCTGCCATGTTATCCAGCTCCACTCTGTACAGGTCATCCCTACAAAACACAACAAATCAGCCCCAAATTATACGATATATGTGAGTGTATCATTTGTGTTGCACAAAATAGTGGGATACTTCTTTTCTGATTGTATTAAATTACTGTTGATGTTGTTGCCTTAAAAATGTAATCAGCATAGTATTTCTACCACCTGTTTGTGTTTGTGTGTGTGTGTGTGTGTGTGTCTGTGACAAAAATCTGTTCTGGTCAAGCAGGCAAAGTGTTTAAATTGAAATTGTGAAATGTATTATGGAACATGTTATTTAGTTAAGTTATTCATTACGGGCATTTATTCACATTCACTGGGTATGTTGATTAGTCTTTATTTCAGCACCAGGCACAGATTGCATGCTTCTCTCTTCATGTGGGTGTAGTATTAAATGTTAGGAGGTCATTTTTATTAGAAATTATTTGAGCCTTGTATTTATATTGCTACAGTACATTCCACAGTAGATGTAAAAGTTTTGATGCAGATTATGCAAGTGAACACTTCAGCTTTCATCAGGGGGCCAAATATTTTTGCCTGAGCAGTGTCGTGTATAATAGCACTGAAAACACACGGTCTTCATTTGACATTTAACAAACAAGACTGAACATGTCCTCACTGGAACAAGCTGAAAATGTCCTCTGCAGAGTGACAGCAGATGGAATCTGGGGCATCAAATGAAAGCAAAATGATATTAATGCAACACGTCAGTAACACGCAGTTGGAGGTGGTTGCCGTTGGTTACCTGGCTCCTATGTAGAGTGTGCGGTTGACTTGAAGGACCGTCTGGATGTGCAGCTCCTGTCTCTGAGCTGAACGATGAGCTCTGCCCAAGAACACTGGGTACCTCCTCACCACTGACATGCACACACAAACAGATACACAGCGTGAAATGCTTACTAAAAAAGCTAGAAATGAAATGCCTTGCTCAAGGATACTTTGACAGTTGATGACAGAGGGAGCACCCTTTCCATTTATATTTGCCCAGAGAGCTCAGGCAGGCCATAAAACAGCTTCTCTAACCTTCACTTTAATAATATTTTTTACCCATTCCTGATGCTTCGGTTTAGGAAAACAAAGGCAAACTAGAGTGACAGGACACTCAAACACTTTTGTCCTCTTAATGTTTTTGATGCTGTTGATGGCTAGAATTGCTATGTTCATAATTATATTGTGTACATTACAGATAATTGAGAGGGTACAGAGAGGTGGGGAGAGAAATGGGCAGTATCAGACAATAAGAACGTTTTGAAGACGGGGACGACAGTTGCCACAGGGAGCCCTCATCATCAGGAGATGGATTGGAAAAATGTCTCATTGTCCTTGACTGCAGGGGAGGGAGGGTGGACAAAGTGATCCATCTCCACCTGTCTCCTCACCTTCTTCGTTCCATCCCTCAACTTTCCTGCTTGTCATCTCTATCACCTCATCCTGCACCTCTTAACATCTATAACAATCATTTGTCTGTCGTTTTCATTCTTTATATCTTTCATTGTTTATCTCTCATATACTGTACATGAATTCACAGCACTACACCGCCATTAAGAGCAGTGAAGGCTCTTTATTTATCCATATGTCCAGGGAGCTCCACACCAAGGCCTTGAACCTTGACCTCTCATTTCCAAATTCACCAAGGAGCCATTCATCAATGCTACATATACACACATGGTGTGCTCACACATGCACATAGTGGGAAGGACACATACCCTCTACGGGGACGTAGCTGAGTGGACTGGGTTCCTCTGGGAACGAGCCATCAGCCAGTTGAAGCAGCAGCAGGAGAAATGTGAGGGGAGGAGCCACGGTAGCCATGGCAGCAGCACACATGCACTGTTAACAAAAAGAGATGGGAGAGAAAAAATTAATCGTATACAGTACATATCTGTGCACATGGGCAAGTGGGCATGGGAGTGTGAGTGTGTTGACATTTTGACAGACTTCTCAGAGCATATGAAAATGACCAACCAATTTCTGCAAGTGTGTGTCATGTGTGCGCGTGTGAGCACAGGGTCAGAAGTGCAAAAGGGTGGCTGCTGCCACCAACCTGGCAGCAGCCACCCTGCAGGAAGCTAATGTGTTTCTATTGTCTGTTTCAGTGGTGTAATGGCAATCTATTGTCAGAAATGTCACTCCATTGTCACGCTGTTTGGAGTGAAGTGGATTCTCACAGCTGTATAACTCACAGAAAGATAAAACATTCCCAGCATTACAAAGCCACTTTGGGTGGTAATGTTCCTTTCACTAGTTATGTATCTATATGGACATATGGAGGCTATATTGCTGGTAATTAGCAACAAAATGGAAGGAGCTGGTCTTTATGGATCAGAGAGGTAGAAAAGGGAGAAGTGAAAGGAGTGACTTGGGCAAGCTGGACAATGAGTTTCCAAAGGTTAAAAGTCAAGAATGCCCTAAATCTCAAACAAGAAAAGGGGGAGGAAACAGATTTTGGTCTTTAAAACGTAAAGAAGCCACAGAAGGGTCATACTGTGTGAGATATATGTCCACACACAAGCACAGAATCAATATAAAAGTCTAGACACTCATGCTAGCAGCTCTGAGAAGTTATACGAAAGCACAGTGGTGCTTTGAATTATATCAGCATGATGTTTATTAATACTAATAATAGTAAATTTAATTTTTAAGCGCCTTTCAAAACACCTAGAACCAAACAATAATAGAAAAACAAAAGTATGAACTGAAAACAACAATAAAATATTAGTACAAGTTAAGAACAGCTGTGAAATATTGTCAAAATGATGTGGATGTTAAATGATATGACATTCAATGAGATATCAAAATGACACTAATAAGAAAATCAAATGAATAAAATAGAAAATTGTTCAGCCAAGTAAGACCGCTGGACATTCAGCATTATATGTTAGAAGCAGTCTTAAAAAGATGGGTCTTTAGAGCAACAATAAAAGTTTCATTTGAACTCACTGTCCTTAAATTGTTTGGATGCTTGTTCTAAAGCCCAGGAGCAGCACTGGCAAATCACCCATAATCACTAACCTAGAATCTGGCACCGCAATAGCAGGTGTAGAGTGCAGCTTTCAAGGTGCAGTATGATAAGAAACTAATCCGGTCAGATATGTGGGTGCTAGGCCTTGTGGCACTTTGAAAGTTAAAAGATGCTTAAACTGAATTTGACAGGCAGCCAGTGCAATTGTCTCAAAAGCAACGCAATGTGTTCATATGACCTAGAATGCAAAATGAAAAAAATCACTATTTTAGTCTAGCATGTTAGGAGATTAGCATGTGTTTATTGGCCTTAAACACAAACTGCAGCTGAGGCTGGTGGGGATGTCACTGTCTGCTCATAAACTGAAGTATGGGATAAATAGAAATTTTGACTTGATGAATCACCAAAGTCAGTAGGAAACAAACATCTGTCTGCCCAACACATGACAATCCATCCAATAATTGTTAAGACTCTCTAGTCTAGACCAAAGGTGGTGGACCAACCAACAGACAAATTGACACTGTCACCCATAGAACCATGATGCTGCCTTAGCTAAAAGCCCACGAGAGGTAAAACAGGCCTTATGGTACACACCAGCGTCTCTTGCACCTATAAAACCTAGATAGTGCTGCACATAAGTTACTGCCAGACATGAATTGAAGCAGCCACACCATTTTTTAATGAAAGGGAAGAGGAGTTATAAATAGAAGAAAAAACAAGACAAATGGAGAGAGCAAAAAGTGCAGAGGACAGGTTTTGTGGGGGGATGCTGAGAGAAATATGGAAATCCTGGAAATTGTTTTATGGATCATAAATGAAAAGAAAGGAAAAACCTGAAAAAAATGTGAATGCGGTCCCCCTCAAATTAATATGAATGTCATGTGCCATGTTTTCCCCAACCCCCACTTATTTCCTTTCATTCTTTCTTCCTCTACCTCCATCACCCACCTCCCCCATTAATTTCTCTCCCTTCTTATCTTTTAGCTCATCTGTTCCCGGATAGAAAAACGACTGTTTTCAGAGACTGAACACCAGGTAGAGAGGTATATGTGTTTGTTGCTAAGGTGATGACAGCTGCTATTTGAAGCACACAGATACACCCAGATGGAACACACACACATATGCACAGTCACCTGTGTTGCTAACACTTCAGAATGTGCTTGAGCTTGAGTGACAAGCTGATTGAAGACATCAGTGAGGTGGTACAGGCTCTGACTATACACTGGGGGCCACTTCAAATGAAATTCTAGAGTAGAGACTGCAGGCTTGATATCTCAAGGTTTTCTTCTCATCATTGGAGGAGGGGGGGGGGGGTTCATCTGACTCTCCCTTGGGATTTCCTGGACTAAAACTGGTTGAGTCAGGTTTAGGGTCAGCCTCATTTCATTATGGCCATTTCATGAGAGGGATCCAAATTTGATACTTAAATCTAAAATGAAATTCTGTTGTCTTGTCTGGTCTGAAAAGATGGATGAGTGACATTAAATGAAACGGGTGTTCCAGTGGTCTGAAAGGATGGATGAGTGACATTAAATGAAACGGGTGTTTCAGTGCCCCTCCTTGAACCGCCACCTTATTGTGGTGGAGGGGTTAGAGTACCCGAGTGATCCTAGGAGCTATGTTGTCGGGGGCTATATGTCCCTGGTAGGGTCTCCCAAGGCAAACAGGTCCTGGGTGACGGGTCAGACTAAGAGTGGTTCAAAAGCCCTTTATGAATAGATTAAAATCAAGGACCGTGACGTCGCCCGGCATGGCGCAGCCGGGGCCCCACCCTGGAGCCAGGCCCGGGGTTGGGGC